TATGGCTAGATCCCTACTCCTTGCTAATTTTTAATAGCTGTCTTTTCTTTCCATTTTCCTTATTTAGACTTGCCAAAGATTCATTCTACCATTTGTTCTGATTTTGCAGAGTTCCTTAAATTGGTAGATTCAATTATATGTTTTCTTTTTTATTTAAAAATTTTTAATGGGTATTTATTTTTGAGAGAGAGAGAGAGAGACAGAGAGAGAATGAATATGAATGCGCAGGGGAAGGACAGTAAAGAAGGAGACACAGAATCCAAAGCAGGCTCCAGGCTCTGAGTGGTCAGCTGAGAGCGCGATGTGGGACTCGAACTCACCAACCATGAGATCGTGACCTGAACCAGAACTGGATGCTTAACCACCTGAGCAATCCAGGGGCCCCTTAATTATCTGTTTTCTAACTTTATGCATTTATTTTTTATTTTCATTTTTCCTGTTTTCTCTTTTTGACATAAAATTGCTAATTTTAAGTGAATCTTTAATTTCTTTTACTTTTTTCCAATTCAATAAAGGCTTAAAATCTAAAAAGTTGCCTCTATTTTAAATAAAGTTTTGTCCAAATTTTGTAAATTTTACATGGACTTTTCTCATTGCTGTTATTATCCAAATAGTCAATGGTAATACATTTTAATTTGCTGTGGGTCCATTAATTGCTTCTATTAGTTGTTTTTTCTTTTTAAATTTTCAATCAACTAGGGTGTTGTTTGTTTAACTTCTGTTATTCCTTTTGGGTTTACTTTTTCTGCTCTGGTGAGGTTATGTGCTCTATAAATTTGTATATTTTTGAAATCTGTTGACTGAGTGTGTATGTGTGTATGAGAGAAATACTCCTCATGAGAAGTTGAATAATGATGTTTTGTATTGACTTCAGTTAAAAAATAATGAAGCCCCTTCTTTACCCATGATATATAGATCCATGATGTAAAAATTAAAGTTCTTCTGACTGAGGAAAGTGTGTGGGGGGAAGTGGGAGGGTAGAGCCCCACCAAACTTCTCCCCTAAACAGTACCCTGGAATCCTTGGAGTTACCTGGGTAGGGTTTTAAAACTGCTGCTCATTTATAAAATGTTTTATATGCATCTATTAGATAAACTTAAAATTTTATGATTAAAAAATTTCCCCCAAGTCAATCTGTTAAGTATTGAGAACAGTGTGTTCCAGAGTCAACAAATGCATTTCTCTAACTTCTCCCCTCGTCACTGGGATCTTTTACTTTGTGTATTTCAGTTCTCTGGGATTTGATGATTAACATTTTGTATTTACTATCTTCACCACAGGCAGCATCATATGGTAATATAAAATTACTGACATTCTTCCTTTTTAAAGCTTTTCCCCTTGAATCCTCTTTTCCCTGAACAAATATTGCTACCACTAGCATCTGTGTTTGTCTGATATACCTCTGACTGTTCTTTTACATTAAAAAAATCTACTAAAATTATATTTCTATTCTTACAGAATACACATACAGGCATACTAGTACGTATGTAAATGTAGATGCCTATCTGTATATGTCACGTATGCATGTATATAAACTCTATCTTTCCAGTATATAAATTCTATATTTCTTAAGCTCATAAGCACTTAAAGTTCTTTCTGAGTTTCATTTTTAACCTCAACCTTTAAAATTTTTTTTTTTTTATATTTGTAAGCCGTTATCTCACTAGGGTTATTAGCCTTTCTTCTTTTATGATAAATCTTATCTAAGATATTTTTGAACCGTCTTATCTTAAAAGGCATTCTATTTTACTTTCCATTATAATTAAAAAATAATAACAATAGATCAATAGAAAAGGGGAATAGCAGGAAGAACAGACTTCAAAACCAGAAGGTGGAGAACGTCAATAGCAATCTGTCTGTTGGCTTCTTTGAGGAGTTTCTGAGTGTACTTAGTTCCACAAATGGTAACAATGGGTCTCAGCCTTCCCAAGAATCCTAACCTCATGTTACTTGGGGCATAACTGAATGGTGAACCTGACTTCTCTGATCATTTAGATTTTATGAGAAACTTTGTCTTTTAAAGTCTCTGGCCAATCACTTTAGGTTATATGCAGATGGCCACCTGGAATGTTATTCAACCTTAAGCCAATTAAAAACATTTTTAAGTGATCTTAAATTTCATGTATCCCATTGTGCTTTCTTTCTGGATTCTGGTATCAGGCCTCTGGGGCTTCAGCTCCCTAATTTGCCTAAAGGCTGTTCTCTCTGATGGCTGTTCTCTCTTTACTTACGTGTTTACTTTTATTAATTTAAGGATGAGTCAGAAGGTAGGGTTCACCCAATCTTTAAGTACTCATTGTTTACATCCCCTTCACAAACCTAGTAGTTTATTTGTCCAGATATTTCACTCGGTTGATGATAAACTTGAGCTTCTCAGGTTCCTTCACAGTAGAGTTGCTGGGTCTTAGTCAAGGCTCTCCTATGACTGACCGCAGTCACTCTGTTAAGAAAACCCAAAGCTATTTGGGACGTTTTTTGATACTCTCCTGGCCTTGGGCTGACACAGCCACCTTTCGTTGATCATAATAGGATTAACAGTAAAACACTCCTGCTGTCATTCTGGGGTGGGGGTTAAGTGGAGGTGAGAGGAGGATGAGCATTTATATGCATTATTATGCTTACCAAATCTCTGCTTCTCTTTCCTAGTCTCTCAAAAGCAATTCTGAACATTACTTAATTTTTATTTGATACTTTGGAGGGATCTTAAGATAAGGGATCAAAGAGCTCTACTCTACATCTACCCAAGTGTTAAATATTTGGTGCTGGAGGAAAACTAAATAGGATAAGAGTGAACTATCATAATGAAGGACTAGCCAGCAGAAATGGAAGTAAAAATCCAGATATTTCAAGTCATATAATATTTAATAGTGATGAAGTACATTAGTAATGAAACACAAAGCCAGGCACACATAAAGTCACCTAAAACAACAGGAAAGAACTCAGTTTTTTGTACGCTTGCTCAATGTTTTGAGAAAAAGTTAGGGTCCCAAGTGAGTTTTTATGCCTTTTAAATTTTTTTTCTCCTCTAAGTTATATTTAAATGAAAAAAAAAAAAACCAGAAAGAAGGCAAAACAATAATAAGCTTTGTTGGTAGGTCTATACCATTTTCATACGTTCTTGGGAGAAGGTAGCAAACAAAATTTCTGCAACAGTAAGTGATGCTTAGAGAAAAATGAAATCACTGAGTGATGCCAGGACTGATTACTCTGCTGCACTTGAAAAGCAGAGATCGCAGTCTTGTGAGCCCAAAGTGGTTTCATATGGACTGCTGCATTTGCGGTTTGTGCTTGAAACTATAACCTGTCAAATTAGAAGCAGGCGAGGCCTATGCTCTTAATGGTTCCACTTTCTACTGTCTACACTTATGTCTCTAAGTTCGGCATTTTTTAGTCAGTTAAACTGTTATGTGGATGAGCAGAATCTCAAAACTGCTCTTTGTTACATTGGTTAAAAGAGATTTAGTTAACAATATAAAGCTTAAAGGAAAAACTGCCAATCTGATTTTTAACACATCACTGTAACTATTTTTATCAACTATCGATATTTTATTATCCTGGTTATCACTATGTCACATATAAGTACAGAGAAGAGGAGGAGAAACTGCATAATTTCCCAACCTTTCCCTCCCCTGCCTTTCCAAATATTTTATTGTCTTTAACTTATACCTTACTGACTCATCATTCTTCCAGGCCCACAGTAGCCTGCTATTATGAGCTTAGTGTTACAATATGCTCCATTTCTCCTCTTCTCCTTGACTGTGGAATGGCCTTCCAGGCAGTGGGCTTGGTTGACAGAGATTTTCCCAGCAAAACTGAAAAGCTAATTGTCGTATTTTATTAACGTTTTATGTAGAGTCCTTCTTTAATGACTCTTTCTTAATGCCCGTTAGTGTAATATAAAAATGTTTTCTTTTTAAAAGCATAGACAACAAACATTTGCTCTCCGTAGAATGCATCGTAAGTGAAACCATGCCACTAAGCAATCATATCCTGTTTAGGCCATAATGACATCAGAAATATATGTTTATCATCTGCTTTGGACAAGTTAGTATGATTTTGGCCCACGGCAAAGCTGAACTAAAATCATTTGCAGTTGCCCCAAACCAAGATAACCACACATTTCTAAGGTAATTGATACCTAAAAAGAACATTGCCTTTAGATCACAGTTCATGATCTAAGCATACTAATTCTTTAAAGAAGGTTGTTAAAGTTTACAAAGCATGTATGTCTATTGGACTTCCTCCAAAATTTGACATGAAATAATTATATTTTTAGCATGCATAGAGATTATGATAAAGTAGGCACTTAGCACGATCTTTTGGAATTCTGGATTACCTTTCTCGTCCAATTTAAGGAGAAGGGGAAAATGGAAATTTTTTTTTTTACAGGTAAAAGTATAATAATAGAAAGATTAAGAACAATGCTTTGTATTTTGGAAGGCACTCAAATGAAATCAGTCACTTTTATTTTCAAAGTATTTAAGGAAACAATAATTTTATGAATAGATAGCTCAGGCAAATAGAAGTTTTGTGCTTATTGTGAAAACATAACCAGGGAATCCAAATATATCACTAGGTTTGTGTTACAGTGATGTAAAGCACGTAACTGCCCTGAATATTACCTCAGCTAGTGAGTCTATTCATAGCCTACAGATGTGTCCTGAAAAACAGCTCTTCTGCTATATGCCAACACAAAAGTGGGAGAAATGACCTTTGCCCACAAAGATAACTGGATGGTTTGGGACAAAAAATAAGTTTTGGATAAAATGGTAACAGTAAAAGTAAGACTTCGAAAGAAGTTTAGGGAAACCGACTCCTATTCAAAGGAGGAAACAGAGAAAGAGAGCACTGAAGTTGTCTCCCAAAGTCATGTCTGAAGGCTGCACAAGGCTGTCTTCAGACATGTAGACAACAATCAAAGAACAGAAGAATAGACCAAATAGCATAAAACCACTGCAATGGCTATTCTATTACTGTAAAAAGGATAGAATGTACTGTACCTCCATTCTTTCTTGTTTAACTTCATCAACTTCATCATCTTCAAACATTGCCAAGAGTTCTCCTGTCTGGTCAATAGAGTTGAGAAAGTCTTGGGCAATTTTTTGTCTTTTGTTTGCATTACTGCTGCCACTCAATTTGTCTTCATGAACATAAAAGGAGGAAAAAAAATGTGCTTAGTAGGTTAACACAACAGCAATCACTACATGTACTGAATATTGCATATGAAATTCAGAATTGGAATTTGCTCAAAATAATCTTTAAAGGGAGAATCTTTGGGCACCTGGGTGGCTCAGTTGGTTAAGTATCTGACTCTTGATTTTGGCTCAGGTCATGATCTCATAGTTCATGAGATCTACTCTGTGTCAGGCTCTGCACTGATAGCACAGAGCCTGCTTGGGATTCTCTCTCTCTCTCTCTCTCTCTCTCTCTCTGCTCCTCCCTCACTCGGGTGGGTGCACGTGCACTCTCTCCCCTTCTCTCAAAAATAAATGAACTTAAAAAAAAATAAGGGGAGAATCTTTGCATCCAAAATAAAAGCATAAGTCATGCATAATTAAATCATTTATGCACTAAATCACTTATGCATGCCAAATAAGACTGAGAAAATAAAATACCAAATTTTCAATTAACATAATAAAAAATGTGAATGGACTGATCAAAATTCCTTACCAAAAAAAAAGGAGGTCCTCTCAGATTTAGAAAAAGAATCCTGGTATAGCAAGTACTGCCGCAATACATTTGAGACCTAAAGGGACAAGATCTTACTCTTTTTCTCTTAAAAGGTAAAACTATCATACTTATTTAAAAGCAAAACTTAACTTTAAAAAAGTTATTGCACAATGTTAGGAGGGAATAATACTATAGGCAATATAGTTTAATGTATAAATATCAGTGTGAAATAGTGACAAAGAATTGGATTATATTTTAAGTGATAAATTACATGCACAGATACCAAATAAAGAAAACCTACGCATCTCAGGTGAAAGTATCCAGTCCTTCACCATTAAATATGATGTTAGCTGTGGGTTTCCCATAGATAGCTGTCTTGGTCACTTTATAGCACAGATATATAAATATATCATAGGTTGGATGGCTTAAAAAAGACCTATTTATTTTTCATAATTATAGAGGCTAGAAAGTCCAAGATCAGGTGCCAGCAGACCTGGTATCTGATGAAAGCCTGCTTCCTGGTTTGCACATGGACTGTCTTCTATTCTCAAATGGCAGAGGGCAGAAAGCAAAAGCAAGCTCTCTTGTATCTCTTCTTGGAAGGGCATGATTTCCATTCATAAACGTCCCTCCCTCATGACTTAATTGTTTTCCAAAGGCTCTACCTCAAAATTAGGTGGCAACATAGGAATTCTGGGGGGACACAAACATTCCATGCATAGCAATGGCCTTTATCAAGTTGAGAAAGTCTCTTCTCAGTTTTTTTGAGTGTTCTTCTAATGAAAGACCTTAAATTTTTTTCAAATGATTTTTCTACATTCATTGAATGATCATGTGGTTTGTGACTTTTATCCTATCATTATGATTTTTCACATTTTTTTTTTCTAAATTTAAACCAATCTTCCATTCTTGGGATACACTCTGTTTTTAAAAAAATTTTTTTTTTTTATGTTTTCTATTTATTTCTGAGAGAGAGAGAGAGTGAGAGAGAGAGACAGCATGAACAGGGGAGGGCCAGAGAAAGAGGGAGACACAGAATCTGAAACAGGCTCCAGGCTCTGAGCTAGCTGTCAGCACAGAGCCCGACACGGGGCTCGAACCCATGAACTGTGAGATCATGACCTGAGCCGAAGTCGGACGCTTAACCAACTGAGCCATCCAGGCGCCCCGGGATATACTCTGTTTGGTCATGGTGTATAATCCTTTTTGGATGTTTCTGGATTTAATTACCTAAGTATTCTGTTAGGGATTTTCACAATCTATATAAAAAAAGACATTAAGTAAACAAAACGGCAACCTACTGAATGGGAGAAGATACCTGTAAATGATGTATCTGGTAAGGGGTTAAGATCCAAAATATACATAGAACTTACAGAATTCAGCAATAACCTCCCCCCAAATAACCTGATTAAAAATGGATAGAGAACCTGAATATTTTTCCAAGATGTACAGATGACCAATAGACACGCAAAAAGATGCTCAAAATCATTAATCATCAGGAAAGTGCAGATCAAAACTACAATGAGATATTGCCTTATACCTGTGAGAATGGCTAGAATAAAAAAGGCAAAAAATGCCAAGTGTTGGTGAAGACGTGGAGGAAAAAAAATAACCCTGTGCACTGCTGGTGGAAATGTAAGTTGATGCAGCCACTGTGGAAAACGGTATGGAGGTTCCTCAAAAAACAGATAGTAGAATTACCATATGATCCAGTAATTTTGCTATTGGGTATTTACCCAAAGAAAATAAAAACACTAATTCAAAAAGATAAATGCACCCATATGTTTACTGCAGCATTATTTACAATAGCCAAACTACAGAATCAACCTAAGTGTGCATCAATAGATGAATGCATAAAGAACATCTACACACACACACACACACACACACACACACACACACACACACAGTGGAATACTAATCAGCCATCCACACAAAAAAATGAGATTTACAACAAAATGCATGGAGGGTATAATGTTAACTGAAGTGCTTCAGAAAGAGAAAGACAAGTATCATATGATTTTAGTCATATGTAGAATTTAAGAAACAAACAAAGATAAAAAAGACAGACAAAAACCCCGACTCTTAAATACAAAGAATGGACAAGAGGTTGCCAAAGGGGAGGCAGAGTGAAGAAATGGGTAAAAAACATAAAGGGGACTACGAGGTATAAGCTTCCAGTTACAAAATAATTAAGTCGTGGAGATGGAAAGTGTAGCATAGGGAATATAGAAACACAAGGTATTAGTTTTTAGTTTTCTTTTCTTGTGATATCTTTGGTTTTCATATCAGAGTAATACTGGCCTTGAAGAATGAGCTGGGAAAGGACTGGTGTTAATTGTTCTTTAAACATTTGGTAGAATTCATCATGAAGTCATTTAGGTCTGGGGTTTTCCTTGGGAAAATTAAAATTACTAATTCAAAGAATTTACTTGTCATAGGTCTACTCAGATTTTCTATTTGACTCAGTTTCAGTAGTTTGTGTTTTTATAGGACAGAAAGTAGATATTTATAGAATTGGTTATATGAACCACTGTATTTACCATTTCTGCTTTTTTTCATTTCTTTCTAAAATTTGAGAAGCCACCTTTGCCACTCCTTACTTCAATACAACCTCAGTACCACCCATCTCACTTATGTCATTACTGTCAAATATATTACATACCTATAAGTTATGCACTTGAGATTACAATCATATATATTGTTTAATACATTGCTTTTTAAATCCATTAAGAAAGGAAAAAATATGCAATTATATGGTCTCTTATATCTACCTACATAATTACCTTTACGGTATGTATGTATGTACGTATGTATGTATGCATGCATGTGTATGTGTGGGCGCTCGCGCGCGGGCACGTGTATTCAAATTATTGTCTGGTGCCACTTGCTTGAGCCTGAAGAACTTACTTAGCATTTTCTATATGGATTTGCTCGCAAGAAATTCACCCAGTTTTTGTTTATCTAGGAATATATATATTTTTGCCTTCACTTTTGATATGTTTCTTGGTTAACAGATTTTTCTTTCAGTGCTTTGAGTATGTCATTCCATTGCTATCTGACCTATATTGTTGCGGGTGTTTTTGTTTTTTTGACCTATATTGTTAATGAGAAGCCAGTTGTTAACATTGTTCAAGTTCTACTGTATGTGATATAGTGCTTTTCCTCTTGTGGCTTCTGTGATTTTTCTCTGTCTTTGTCTTCCAACGTTTCTAAAAGAATATGTCTGAATGTGGCTCTCTATGTGATTATCCTAATTGGAACTGCTAGGATGTATAGATTAATAATTTTCATCGAAGTTGAGAAGTTCCAATGATTATATTTTTGAAGATTTTTTTCTGTTCTTTTTTATCTCTCCTTTCCTTCTGGTAGGCCCATTATGCATATGTTGATTTGTTTCATGATGCCTAAGATTTCAGAAAGCTCTATAAATTTTTCTTTATTCTTTTCTTTGTTTTTCAGACTGCATAATTTTAGCAATCTGTCTTCAAGTTCACTGATTCCTTCTTCTTAGTTCAAAGCTACTACTGAGCCTCTTTCCTGAATTTTTCATCTTAGTCATTGTGCTTTTCAACTTCAGAATTTGCATTTGTTTCTTTTCTATAACTTGTCTCTTTATATTAATCTTTTCTAAAACAGTTTTTATTAAAATTCCATTTGGTTAACATTCAATGTATGTTTCAGCTGGACCGTATACCAATTCAACACTTTCATTCAATACCCAGTGCTCATCACAACAAGTTCCTTCCTTAATTTCTGCTTCTGAATTGATATTTTCTAGTTGGTGAGACATTGTAATCATATCTTCCTTTTGTTCCTCAAAAAATGGTTTCCTTTAGTTCTTTGAGCATGTTTACGGTAGCTACTTTGAAGGTTTTGTGTGCTCAGTCCAACATCTGGGCACCCTCAAAAGCGGTCTGCGTTGTCTGCTTTTTTTTACCCCTTTTCGTGGATTACATACCTGGTTTTTTGCATGCCAAATGTTTTCTTGTGATTGTTACCCAAAACGGACATTTTATACTGTAGCAACTTTTAGATAATAATTCCTTGGGACTTGTTTTTCTTCCTGGAACTTGTCATTATTTGCTTGTTTGTTTTCGTGATCTCGCTAGACTGGTTCAATAAAATCTTTTTCCCTCACGGCAAGTGCCCTTGGAAGTTGCTCCTCAGAGGGCACAGCCTGGAGCACGCAGCTGGTCTCCTCAGTCACCAGGGAGGACTGTGGTTTTACTCAGGTTCTCTTTGGCTGTCACTTTTCCAGCTCTCTTCATTAAGTTTTTGGCGGGTTTGACTCTACCGTTATCACACACAGCCGTTAGCTTCCACTCACTTCTGGCGGATGGCTTTATTGTTTTCAATTAAATACTTTTGGACATAAAATGTTCCACAGACGGACTTGAATCATGTCAAGCCCCTTTGCAGAGTCAGGATGCAGCTAGCCTTTACATTTTGCTCTGATTTTCATACATTAGGTTAAACTTGCATAAGAATTCCAACATGGTAAGTGGGATAATTTTTGACTTATGAGAAAAGTGATCCTCAAGTTCACATAGAGAGTAAGTAGAGAACTGAGACTGATTAGAATTTAGGTCTGTTTTGCTCCAAATCTGTATTCTTTGTGCTGTCTAAGAAGCATTTTACTTCACCTGGATGACTAGTGTTCAGATATAAAATTCTATGAGAATTGCAGGAATATTAAGTAGGCACCACTGCTTAAACATTTGATGTGCATTTCTTTCCTTGTTTTCATTCTTTTCTTTCCTTCTCTCTTTCCTCCTTCCTTCCTTCCTTCTTTCCTTCCTTCCTTCCTTCTTTCCTTCCTCCCTCCCTCCCTCTCTCTCTCTTTCTTGTTATTACACTTGCTAATTTGGAGGCATTCAAATTTTACCTCCAAAATTTGTTAACTCTTCAGTTGGTTTTGAGTAGTTTTCTGGATTTCTTAATCCAGTAGAGTTGGTTTATTTATCAATGTATTTATTAACAATGGACACTCACTACTCATACATATATTCAATGTAAAATATATGAGTTATGTCTAAAACATATGTATTTATTTTGACTTAGTAAGTACTGTTTGGTACATTTGTTTCAACTTAGCACTGTTTGATTATGAGATATTAATATTTTTTTCTAAATACTCTGAAATGGGGAATTGAGTTGGAAAATCAGAGAAGGAAAATTCTCTATTCTGTTAGGCTGTTGGTAAGATTTCAAACACAGTACAGAACCACCAAAATGGGGTGACTTTATATCATACCACATATCAGATACTTTCTATAATACACCGAGAAAAACCCACGTGTCAATTTCAGATATATGTAATAATAGATTTGGCTCCGTACACCCATGACAGAAAAACTATGCTTGCTAAGATCAATGATATTTTGAAACAACATGATTTTCTCAGTGTCATGGCATTCTGATATAAAACAGGCCATATGATGAAAAGAACTGACAGACCAGATTACTATGAAGCCACATAAATAGAAAATCATAAGATTTAACTGCCAACTAAACAGATACTTGGGTAATTCCTCAGCTACATTACTTAACAGAAGCATATCCATCCTACTGCGATGGGACTGTCCACACTGACACTGCCTCAGTGTGTCACCTGGGCACCCGTGCCACGTCACTCTCCGTTTAGTGTGTTCTTTCAGGTTACCTTCCAGAAGATCATCCTCATCTATGCCCTTGACAATCTTGGATTTGTAGTCTCGGAAAAACATGTACTTCAGTAGCCTTCTAAGCTTTTTCTATTAAAAATGAAATAAATGAAATAAATAAGAAACCTTATACATACATTCACTTTACAGATAATAGACTACTATGAGAACTCAATTTAATAAACTTGTGTCCAGGATCACTGGGGAAAATACAGCAATTCTCAACATATTACCATAAATAAAAGGTGTCATCATACTAAACGTAAAAGCTAAGACAGTAATTTTTTAACTAATTTTTAAAATACAAATTATTGTCAAATTGGCTTACATACAACACCCAGTATTTTAAAAGCACTTTCCATTTTGCAAGTATCCAAAGCTCTAGAACTGCAGTAATTGGTTTTTTGTTTTTCTTTGTGGTTTTTTTTTTTTTTTTTGGTCTTATAAAAAGTTTTAAATTCTTCCTGAAGATTGTGATAAATATCACATGCTCCATATTAAGCTAACTATTCTAACTTGATGAATTTTGTACACATTCAAGACCAAATTTTATTTTTCGATGTGATTTATAAACATCCAGACAAGGATTTTGTAACAATTGCTTTAAAATGCCAAGCAACCTTCCTTTTTATTCCTTTCTGCTCTCTGGAGATCTTTTTCTTTTCTTTTCTTTTTTTAATTTAGAAGAGTTGGCTTATATTTTATATTTCTGGAAAACTTTCTATAATCTGAGAAACATATTTTAAATGAGACTCAAAGCTGATGAATGATAGTTGGGTCTTGATGGTGTTCTTGAGGTTTATTAAAAGACCGTAATACTGCTTACCTTTAAAAGTAACTGATAATACCTTATAATCTTTGTGTGCTTACCCTTAGAATGTAGTATTACTGGCTCCTGAACTTCAGGTTTAAGATTCCTAATTATGGCCAAAACATAGTATGTTTCACAAAAGCTCTTTTTATGTGCATCTTATTTGATATTTATTTATTTATTATTTCAACCCTGAAATACAGACAAACATAATCATCTCCTTTTTACACAGAGGGAAACTGAAGTTAAAAATTATCTTACAACCAGCAGGGCCAGAAGTAGAACATAACCTTTGAACCTGTTTCTTGCTTTATGATTTTAAGTGAAGTACCTACCTTACAGGACCGCTGTGAGGAAGAAATGAGGTAGGAGTGAAGTTGCCAGATACAATACCGTATGCAGTCAATAAAGAAAGCTTGCAAATTAACTGGAATTCCTAAGAGAAAAACCATGCACCCACATATGGGTCTTCTGCTACCCTTCTTTTCTCTTTGCTCTGATTGCACACAATCCTTAGATTTAATTTTGTCTTACATTACACCTACGTCAACTACTTTAACTCTGTTTGGAACATGTCAGCATATAAATACAATTATTATCTTGCAGAGGAAGATGAGAACTCTCTGCCAGATATCATATGACAGCTATGTTTGCAGCTGATGAAAGGTTTCTGGTTAAGAGTCCTCCTGGAAGTGGAGGAGTGTTGTCAATTAGTGTATGTTTCTGTAGTTTCAATACGATTTTAAATTTCGAGTTTCCCAAAAGGCAGGAAAAAGTGTCAAGGGGGACTGTTTTTTTGTGCGAGCCTCTTACCTCTGCCATGGAAAAGAAAAGGTGATTGGACATACTCTGTCAAGTACTGATGCTAACTGCAGTGTTCCCCCGCTGCCTTCATAAGGGACCTTGGCTCCAGGTCCTCATTTCTGCCAACAGCATGCTCCTTCCTCATAGCACAATGGCTGCACAGTGTCTATTTCTCCTTGGTCCTCCAAGTGTAACAAATTAATCAAATCCTGCATATTTGTACTTTTTCCCATCTTTCTGAATCTATCCTTCCTATCCACTTCCAGAGTCAGCATGCTCATCACATGTTGCCTTGATTATTGAATCAGCATCTTAGCCAGTTCCTTTGTATTTGGTCCATTCTACAGAGACCTTCACTTCAGCAAATTCTACAGCCTCTCATCTAAGCACACAACTTCAAAATTCTGCTCCTTCAACCAACTCATAAAGGTTTCCTACACCAGATTATAGCTACTTGATAGTGGAGACATTTCTTTTCTCTTCCTTTATAGTCCTCATACCATCAAAGAGTTAATGGAGAGTTTATAAAATTTAACAGTAGACCGGCCAAGGTGCAATTTATAGGTCTCTGGATCTCACTGCATGAGGAAGAGAAAATAGGTGATCTAAGTTCAGTCAACCTTCGGTCTAACAGAATTAAAAGGTTTCACAGATATAAAATAATTGGATACTGGAAAGGATGGTAACAAGGTTATCCAAAAGGTCAGATGGAAGGTCTTCTGATAAAAAATAGAGCCACAAGCACATAAAAGATGGTGGAAGAGGAATGGGTAAACGAAAAGGCCAGTGAAAAACAATGGAGCAATGACATGGACCATCAGAAACTAAATGCTGCCTGCTCGTTTGGGATAGCAGCTTCCATGCCACATGGTGCTTATTTAGCTAGCTTTTGCACATGTAACTTTCAGATGACACTTTCAGTAAAATTTTATAAAGTATTTTCAACTAGGTGCTCATGGAAGATCTTTAGAGACTGGTAAATACCAGCCTAAGTATTTTATTTAATACCAGAGTTCAAAGAGTAAGAAAGGTAATCTTCAGCCATAAAAAAAAAAAAACAACCCTCTAGCCATTATTATGTTTATGCTACTGAAATACTCATCTTGATTGATTTATTTTTCCCAGAATGAACCTTGAAACAAGCCTTGGAAAGCCTGTAATCCTGTGTAAAATTAGAAAGAAAAAAGTTGCCACTCAGTTCTACCCTACTTATTAGAACTACACACACAAATGATATGCAGTGAATATTATGTAGCAATGAAAATGTCTAAATATATATGTAAGGATAAGTGAGAAGCCATTGCTAGCATAGTTTTACATAAGTGCCTGACCCACATAAAACAAATAGCAAGTTTCTTGTAGTAAACCATTTTGTTGAGCAAAGTTTGAAGACTAAAACATCAGTTTAAAAGTTGTATTCCAATTTGAAAGCTATATAACAAGGACCCAGTTCCTAGTATACATGAATTAAACACCACACATGGCATGTCAATGCAATGAAATTATTTTACATTACCTTATCTTTGCGCATCAAAAACAGAAGGTCTTCGGCAGAGATTACTCTTGCTCCCCGAAGCTGAGAAACTTCGGCAGCTTGCTGTAACTAACAACAAAGAAAACTTAGGACTTTTTTTCTTAATAATCTAAATTAAATATACTACAGTCATGAGTTCTCAAGGGAGATAAATATACTAAGAGTTAAAAACCTTTGGGAATAATCTGGCAATCACATTACTGCTTTTAAAAGCAAAATGTCTAATGTTTTAAAGTAAAAAAAAAATGCAATTAAATTAACTTATAAGCCCACCTGTAACTGATACAATAAACAGAAATCCTTGATTTCTTTCATGCAAAAGAAAAATCATGTGCAGCTTCCAGAAATGCATTAATGCACCTGAAAATAATTTTATGAAATTTTATCCTCATATCCACGTGAGCAATGGTTTCACTCAGTATCACTAGTTGAATAAGTATATTATTAATCTGAGCTCCCATGCTGGTATGATTTGAAATAGGCCCATTCAGAACTTTAAAAGATCAACAAAAACAGTAGCTGCTTCTAATATCCGAAGGGAAAAAAATAGTTTTAGTTTTGGCAAGTCTTCAGTGGGCAAAGGATTCAGTCCATAAATCATAATACTGGACTGCATTAATTTCTTTCCACACTGATCACATGCACACAAAAAGTTAACTGTATCTGGAATGCACAACACAAAACATACTGCATGAAAAGTTAGATTCCCCCTGAAATGTTCATCTGGGCCCTTATATCTACAAAGTTGAGAGTTTTCTGGAATTCAGAAGTCCTAGAAACACAATCTTACTTGAAAATGACCTGGAAAATAAAAGAATGTGAAAAATGATAGTTCTATTTTCTGGCACAGGCAAAATCGGTTTCGTATTTTGATTAGTTGGAAGGAACATAAAATATGTCCAGATGAAAAAAATAAAGATACTGGAGAAAACCCTGCAAATATGTGCCTGTAACTTCTTCCAAATTTGATCAAACCATGGTGATTGCACCACACCATTTCTATCCAATATTATAAAAATATTTACATATAAAAGCTGTTCCTAAATGCATTCTTCTTGGAAAGGAATACATCTAACATATTCCTGAGAACTAATCTTTAAAAAGTGACACACTGTTATCTTAACAATTATAAGGAATCAAATAGTGCATTTGTACTAAAGAAATTCTGCTTGAATGTTTAAGCGATTTTGCTAAGTAAGCTTCAAACCTTGTCTAAATACACAGACTACAAAATAGACTATAAACTCCCTATGTGTCAGCCTTACCACTGAATTTCCTGGATACTGGTGGTTGGTATATAAACATAATTCGACCTAAATATAGAAATTTAAATTTAACTGTGAACCATTTACAAAGAAATCTTAGGGGAAAGGTTTTAAAAAGATGATGTATCTACCCAGAAAGAAACTACACGTTTTCAGCAGGAAAAACGTGAACATATTTTTCTAAAAACTGCAAGAGTGTCAGGGAAATATGTGTACACATGTTTTTTCAAAGAAAAACATTTCTGCCATAGTATAAAATACACACAATCAGTGTGGACAGTATGAGCTCAGTATCCATCTAAATGTCTGGACACAGAGAACGTACACTGCACCAGGACGCAGCAGTGTCAAGTAACTTTGTATTTTCTTAAATGAGGGATGGTGATGATTTGACAGCGGTAAAGTACTCTACAGACAGAAGGAATTTCACTTATGTTAAGAAAGGATCAGGATAAGTACATATCCCGAAACTCCCAACAGAGTTTTCCCAATTAATCGTTTATCCGCACTACATATAAATAAATTATGTCTTTACAATCCTCTCCAAAATGTCCAGTTTATTAACCAGGAAAAAACTGGCTTCCTTGTAGAAATCTGTGTCCATGCCTACCAGAAAGAGTAAAGAAACTCTTCTTTAACAATACAAAGCTTAAGGGGCGCCTGGGTAGTCCAGGTACTTTTAAGGGTCTGGCTTTGGCTCAGGTCATGATCCCATGGTTCATGGGTTCACCCTGCGTTGGGCTCTGTGCTGACAGCTCAGAGCCTGGAGCCTGCTTCGGAGTGTCTCCCTCTCTGTCTCTGCTCCACCTCATTTGTGCTCAGTCTCTCTCTCTCCCTTAAAGATAAACAAACATTTAAAAAACAAAAACCAGAAACAATATAAAGCTTACAAAACAGGTTAGCAGCTTGCCAGGCCAGTTTCACAGAATGCTGAGCTCAGAATTGGTGCATTTAACATGACAGCACTTCACTGAGCAAGGAGACCAAAATCACAAAATAATCCTAGTAACTTCAGTGTTACAAAACTTGATTCTACATTCAAAGAAATCCCTCAATTTCTTAATCTGTGAAACTACATCAAAGTTGTACTTCATTGTTTATTGTTGCATGTTAAATATTTTTGGCAGTAATTAGAATAACTTGAAATAATAGTGCATTTCACACTTTTTTATTATAGTGAAAGCAGTACATATTTAATTGTGATGTAAACTATGCAAGAAATAACAGAGCAGGTAAGTACTTGAGAATGAGTATACAATTTAATCTTCTTAACCATACGGATAAAGGTATGGTCACAGTAACCATAAGAGATTTATTTGGAACTTAATAAAATATTGTGCTACAAGACATTATTATTTTACTACAAGAACAATTCATTTACAGAATTTTTTCTGATAAATATTATTTGTTTTTGAAAGTAAACTAAAATAATAGTCTACTTGTAAAGACTGCTTAAAAGACAAAAGTTCCTTTTGCATATTAACACTCATCATGTTTGCATTTAAGTATTTTTTGACAATTTCTTTGTTAAACTTTACATTTCATATGAAATGCCTTATCTTTGATCTCCTCAAATCTCTTCTCAATTTCTCACTGCAGTCAATGACACTAACATGCAAACTCATTGTATTTTTCTCCCTCTGCTGCATTTTCACTAGCTTCTGTTGATTTTGTTTTGTTTTTGTCTTCTCAGGTTCTTCAATTTGCTACTTCCACAGTACTTGTCCCAATCCAGGAAACTTCAACGTCCCCAAATTGTGATGCAATTCAGATTTAAGTGCTAAAATGATCTTGCTCAAATAGGATGTCCATAACTCTTGTTCTAGGATCTATGAGACTTCACTATTCTCTAACTCCAATGTGTCTTTACAGCCTGACTCACAGATTTCTATATACCTTAATTCCCATCATATTTCTTTTTTTTCCATATTATTCTACATTTAAATTCCAATAATTTCAATTTTCTTTTCACACTTCTATGCATCTGTAATGGTTAATTTTATGTGTCAACTTGTTTGGGCCACAAGGTGATCAGACCTTTGGTCAAACATTATTCTGGCTGTAGCTGTAAGGGTATTTCTGGATGAAATTAACATGTGAATAGGTAAAATAAGTAAAGTAGACTGCCCTCCCTAATGTGGGAGGCCCTCAATCAATAAGCTGAAGAACTAAATAGAAAGTGATCACCTTGGGGCACCTGGGTGGCTCAGCTGGTTAAGCATGGAGCTTAGGTAATTATTTTGGCTCAGGTCATGATCTCATGGTTTGTGAGTTAGAGCCCTTGTGTGAGGCTCTGAGCTGACAACATGGAACCTGCTTGGGATTCTCTCTCTCCCTGTCTCTCTGCCCCTCCCCCGTGCTCTGTCTGTCTCTCTTTCTCAAAATTAATAAACAAACTTAAAAAAAAAAAAAAAAGAACATGATCACCTCACACCTGTTAGAATGGCTAAAGTCAACAACAGGAGAAACAAGAGGTATTGGCCAGGATGTGGGGAAAGGGGAACCCTCTTAACACTGTTGGTGGGAATGCAAACTGGTACAGCCACTTCGGAAAACAATATGGAGGTTTCTCAGAAAGTTAAAAAAAGAACTGCCCTATGATCCAGCAATTGCACCACTATTTACCCAAATAATGCAAAAATATTATTTCAAAGAGATCCATGCACGCTGATGTTTATAACAGTATTATCTTCAATAGCCAAATTAGGGAAACAGTCCAAGTGTCCATCGACTGATGAATGGATAAAGAAGATGTGGTGTATATAAAGAATGGGATACTATTCAGCCAGCAAAAAGAATGAAATCTTGCCAATTACAATGACATGGATGGAGCTAAAGAGTATTACGCTAAGCAAAGTAAGTCAGAGAAAGACAAATACCATATAATTTCACTCATATGCCTAAGTTTAAGAAACAAAACAAATGAGCAAAAAGGAAAAAAGAGAAACCAAGAAATAGAGTCTTAACTATAGAGAACAACTGATGGTTACCAGAGGGGAGGTGGGTGGGGGGATGGGAGAAATAGGTGATGGGCATTAAGGAGTGCACTTGCTGTGATGAGCACTGGGTGATATGAAATTGTTAAGTCACCACACTGTGCACCTGAAATTAATATTACACTGTTTGCTAACTGGAATTTAAACAAAAACCTAAAAAAAAAAAAAAAAAAAGAACATTAAAGACCAAAGAAAGGGCATAATGGAACACTTTCTGCCTACCTTGAAATGAGATACTGGTCTTTTCGAGCCTTCTGACTCAGACTAAAACATCTCTTGTTTCTCAGGACTTTGGATTCAGGCTGCATCTCTCCTGGGTCTGCAGCCTGACAACCACAACACTTGGGACATTTCAGTCTACATTATCAGGGGAGTCAACTCCATCCTTCCTATTATCGATCGACCTACCTATCTACCTACCCACCCTCACACACACAAATACACACACAAACACATATATTGTTGGTTCTGTTTTTCTGGAGAAACAAGATAGAACTATATACTCAAATTATGAGAAATTCTTGTGTTCTTTTTGAGAAATAGATTCTTTATGGGATGCAGCACTTTCTTCTTTAAAATACAGGCTTCAAGGGGCACCTGGGTGGCCTAGTCAGTTAATTGTCCAACTTCAGCTCAGATGAGGATCTAGTGGTTTGTAGGTTCAAATCTCACGTTGGGCTCTGTGCTGACTGTTCAGAGCCTGGAGTCTGCTTCGGATTCTGTGTCTCCCCCTCTCTCTGACCCTCCCTTGCTCACACTCTGTCTCTCTCTTTCAAAAATAAACAAACATTAAAAACAATAAAAAAAT